AATGAGTTGTGTGTAACCACATTTTGCACTTCTCATGCAAAATGGAATGAAGAAATTGTGAAAATGGAGTGTCTTCAATCTGCTTTGGCAATGGGCGAGTCTCTGGCTGGATGTGCCTCCCCAGGAATCCTCCACCGATGTTGTTACAACACCTCAGGTAGAGAGAACAGCCAAGGTGACCAAATGGTTTCTTGTCTTTTCTGTTTCATCTACACCCTGCATTTTTATTCTACGCAACACACTTTGGTGTTTCTTTTGCAGCTTCCAATTAACAACGGTGCATTTAGTCAGTCACTTAAGTAAATTGGCTCATTTCATTGCTGGTGAAATTAATTTCTGATGTGTTTGCCCTGTTATTATTTATAGGGAGGTACAGCTCTTCCTTAAAGAGCATCTAAAGGGATTCAGTTCTCCTTCCACACGTTCTGGAAAGTTCGGGCGAGTGGATTAACTATCAATCAGCACTGTTATTGGCTCTTACCACACACAAACAATGGCCTCTAATAGTTAAAAAAAATTACCAAATTTCAGAAAGAGTAATCTCTTTTGCAGACATTCCTTTATCAACACCATCAAAAAAGGAAGTGTATAAAATTAATATTACTTTAGGAAAAGTTATTAGAATGTGGTTCTTTTCAAAGATGTGTTCCTTTTTCACAAGGCTGATCCATGAGGATGCAAAACTTCACTGCTAATTACCAGTCTGCTATGAAGTTGGTGAAATGGTGAAATAACCACTTGTCCAAGAAAAGCAGAAGTACATCCTGTGGCTAAACACGCCCCGGGGCTGGAACAGGAGCAGGTCTGCAGGCGGAGCTCCCGCACACACAGGACTTCCCCCCCTTCCCTTTTCCAGTTCTCCTTTTCTGGCACTTAAGTTCATCCACTGAAATGGGTTACGCAGAGTGTACAGTTGCATGCTCAGACGACTGGTATTTATCACAGTAATTTATTTGTAGAAATAGCAAGTAACTTTTTAACATTAAGTTAGGCTGTATGTGGTAGCACTGAACTCATCCGTGACTCATCCATGTCAAGAAAGGCAACATTTGAGGTCAGACAGTCTGAATTCTTTAAGTTACATGCAAGTTGCATTAGCTTTTAATTCTTTTGTTTTTCTACCCTGAATCTTACACTAAGAAATTAGGATAGAAACTCATCTATAAACACCAGATTAAAAACTGACCTCATGGATTTTTGGGAGTCTTTTTATTTCTGCTTTAATCTGATATAACTCACTCTGAACCAAGTTTGGGTTTTGCACAAGGCAACAGAGGATCCAGGCTCTGGGTAGCAATGTGGTGTAGTTTCTACTAGGTAAACCTTGCTCTTTTTTCAGAGTATAAATAAATCAGCTGCAGTTTGGCCTGGATGGGTACAAGTTGGGCAGAGAGAGGATGGTTATCAAGGATTGCAGTGGAAAATCTGCAGAAAAAAGCGAACAATTTTAGGCTGAGTTTTTTTCTGCCTCTCTCCTGTGATGCTCTAAGTGCACTCACAGAGCTAGAGGAATAGCCAACCGAGGAGCAGCGACGAGGCACGGATCCTGCCGACACCTGCGTGCTGCCAGGGACAGCCCTTCCTTTCTTCTCCCACCAGGAAACGGGCTAAACCTCTGCGTCTCCATAAAAAGAACTTCTTGGTGACTTCATCTCTCCAGAGTTTTTTCCACCGAGGAAAAGACCTAGCAGCCCTGTAATCTTGTCCCTGCTCCTTTTCCTGCATGGTAATTGCAGAGAAAACAGATTCAGTGGGCAGTAATATCTCCTCTTGGGCTAGAAGCACGGTCACGACCCAGGAGGAGGGAGCTGCCCAGGCTGGCAGCGTTTCCTCCCACGGTGAGCAGGGTGCTTCTCGCAGTCACGCCGCGGCTCAGGAGCAGCCCCGCGCCCAGGGGTGCACGCAGGCATGCACACACACAGCGCACCCACACCAACATCCAGCCTGAAAAAAACACCAGAAATAGAACGCCCCTTGCATCCCGAGGTGCTATGGCCACTGGCAGTGCTGCTGCTCAGCAGCAGGTAAATCCTGCCCCTGAAGGGACGTGGGAGCCCTGACTGTCACTGCGGGTCATGGGCACAGTGCTGCCTTTGCCTTCAACTGGGCTGCTTCTGGCCAAGCTGCAGAAGAGGGGCTGGGCCTGGAAATTCCACCTTAAACTGGGCTGCACTCGAGGGAGAATCACATGGGCAGTATGGTGTCATTTTTCTTTATGGGCATAATAGCCCCCAGCTGTAATAACTGAAAAAGTAAAAACAAATAAACCCTTTTTATTTCCACTCAAGATTATTCGAGTAATTTTTATTGAAAATATAAGATCTACAAAGCCATGGATACCCAGCGTGGAAGAACTCATTAAGTTAGCACATTCATCTTTAAAAGGAAAATTTCAGGTCGACCTAAGGTACAATAATGTTCAATTTAAAATCTCGTTTTTCCTTCTGTAAGTTTCAAATCTCTTTTCATTAGGAGGTTCTGTGCAAGAGCTGCTTGTCATGAAAGGAAACGCTTTACAATTCATGAATGTGTTCATTATATAATAAATGAACAGCAACAATATACTAGCCTTTTTTTTTTTCCTGTTAACAGTCGTGTGTTAAAAGTAAACTCTTTTTTTTTTTTTTCCATGATTTGGAAATTAGTTACATATGCACCAAAGGAGCTAGTAATTTCTGCTGCTTGTCAGCTACACACAATGAGTATATTGCTGTGTGCTTTCCCCAACAATGAGGATTTTAGTAATATGCAAGGTGTACAGAATGTAATACCAAAACCTGCATCACAGAAAAGGTTAATTGTTTTCTTATTCAGCTGCCAGAGTTTATAACCTTAGGCCCCTCCCAGAGCCAAAGTAGGGATGGCCATCCATTAGGTTATGTAAATTAAACATATACATTTTCCTTGTTGGCAAGTTCCAAGCAGTAAGCGAGAGTGCAAACAAGGATCTGTAAGCTGCCACAAAATGTATTCGTATTTCTACTCCGTGTTGTAAGAGCCAAAGGGAGGACACGCATGTCAGATGTTGAAAGAACAACTGAATCTTTGTTTTTGATCATTATGGTCAGTCTGTCATGAGGTCTTGTATCCGAATGCTAAAAATGGCACCACACTTGGACATCCCATAGCCTTACACAGTACGTTTGTGTTTCCCTAGCCACTGAGCACTGGTCTCACAGAGACCCTGACGTTATAAGCTAACAAAATACAGATTCGAGTGCTGAAGAATCCAATGGAGGGCTTTTACAGAGACAATTAACCCTCGCACCAAAACCTAATTTTATGATTTTACTTAAAGCCACACTGAATCAGTTGTGAGAGGGTGAAGATATAAATACACCTCTCTGCTTCATCCGTAAGAAGGTGGACAACTGACCATTCGAACAGAGGGTTTTTGAAACAAAGCTTAGTTGTCCTTTAAACAATGAAAAGGAGAGGCATACATAAATGGTCACCAAGGCACAATATGACAAAGGTGAAGAGTCCCTGAGACTCTGGTCTGGGTCTGTACCATTCCCCTCCCTATACAAGTAAATGAGAACATTTAGGAAAATATAATACAAAATCTCTTACAGGAAATATAGACTACACTTGCTAAAATCACTTCCCTAAAAGTGTTTATAGCTTTTTTTCTTTTTTTTTTTTTCCTTTTTTTTTTCTTCTGTGTTTTTTTTGTTTTTTTTTTTTAAAAGACCTTCTTTAAACAGATAATGCAAAGACTGGTCCATTTTTTTCTTACCCAGCAAGCCAAGCTCTAATGACTTCACTAAGCAGAAGTTGTATTAAAATACATCTTCATAGTATTGCTACAATTTGGGTAAATATGTTCTGAACAGCTTGATGAGTACTAAATAAACTTTGCTGTTTTACAGCATACATTTAATTTTTTTTGCACTTTTTTAAGAATAGAAAATGCAATTATAGTGTGCAAAAGAAAAAAAAAATTATCTTCTAGCTGAATACTGTAATTGTAAGCCATGCCTTCCATAAAAATTTATTGACGTGTGTAAATAGAAGAAAAAAAAATACAAGCAAACAGAGATTTCATTTCCTTGCAAGGAAAGATTAACTATCACAAACTGCATCACTTGAGTTCTGTATTCTTCAGACAAAGAAATGAAAAAAAAAATAAAAACAACCCAAAAAAACCACTGAAATGTTTCAAATGTCATCCCTTCCACGATAACAGGTTAAAACTGCAGTGCTGCTTTCTACTATTCCCGTTAACATGGACAGAATGATTTGCTGCTGGTTGGATATTGAATACAAAAAAGCAAAAGAAAGTTGAGATCATCCCACATGAAGTCATTATTAGAGCTGGCTTTTCCCCCCGTTTTGAAGTACAGTAGTGACTTGTAAATATGACCTTTTCTAAAGATCATCTGAGATTTGAAGATTTATCTGCCTGCTTCACCCAAACAACATCTGCTGAAAGAATTTACTCTACACAGCCCGCTACACAGTGTTCACAATATTTTGGGATTTTGGTTTTCATGAAAAATACCACAAAAAGAAGTTTTAGGTTTTTCTATCTCTGAATCACTAACACATTGTAGATTCCATTTATTCTTCCATGTTTGAAAATGGTTTCTGCAAAATCAAAATAACTGTCAAACTCCCTTACGTCATGCTTCCAAAAGTTTGAATTTAATACTTCTTGAATGGAATGACAATTTATTTTCTTTAATTTGCAGTATGGCTACATCAAGCTAGCTTTAAGTCACAACTGTACCTAACCACAGTTCTCTGCAGCAAACCCATGATTTACAATATCTAATATTGTGGTTACAGTGCAGGGAACCGTGGGTAAGAAACCTCCATGTCAGAGTACTGTGGTTGGGGTTTCCCGGAAGAGTGGCAGTTGACACCTCTGGAATATTCATATATAAGTGCTTCAGTCAGATGGTCCTGAGTTGAAGGGATAACTCAGGCACTATGAGAGCCTGGCATTCAGTCTGCGGGAAT